GTCTGATCCTGAATATATTTCATAATAATTTGTACATTTCTAAAATACTCGTTTGTTGAAATAATGTTTTCAGTAACCTGAAACATTATAATTGTATGTAGTAATTTAAAGCTGTAGCGTTAAATTATTATTTTCGAAAGAATACGTATATTTATATATCATTTTCTTACCATTAAATCTTTAATCTCAAATGTAGCATCAGAGGCAATTTTTGTTATTTTAGAATTAAAGATACTAAGACATTTCACCCAAGCAATATCACTATTATAATCAGCAACATCTTTATACAATTGTATGCAACATGTCTACAAATATGTAATAATTAATTATATACAAGTATAAACAATGCAGTTAAAAATATTTTTTATAGTAAAATTTACTTGTAATGTAGGATTTTGATGTTTGCTAAGATAAGGCTCTACAATGCTTAAAACATTCCATGTTTCTCGTTCGTGAAGATTTAAATTCTTTGTTATTTGACCTAATGTAGAAAGTAATTCCTTTTGTAATTTATAAACCTGAGTAAATTTATAAATATTTTCGTAATTTTTGTTATAGGTTTCTTTTGCAGAATTGTGTAAAAATTTTGAAAGTGCAGGTAATACTTGTCTAAAAATAAATCTGTTAGTTATTTCCATTATAAATGGATGACAAAGTATAAAATATAAACAACTTACTTAAGCGTTCTAGATCGAATAAAATCTTTTGCAACCCGGCTGATCACATTTAATAATTGCCACGCTCGATTGATTATTAATACATTTTCATCATGAAATCTATCTACTAGCGGATGCCAGAGTAAATGTACAATTGGTAATAATTGATTTTCCCAGTCTGCTAAAATTTCGAGGCCTTCTTGAAACGTTGACATTGCAATTAATGATGTTTGTATTTCTTTTGACGGTATGAAGTGTAAACAATGCTTCATTACATCTTCAATCATTTTTATGTAAAATGGTATGTTTTCTTTCTCTTCTACAATTCATATTTTGTTTCTTGTAATTTTTCTTTGTTATTGATTTTAACACAATATGTAAACAACATTTTATTAAAATATAAGGATTCATTTACCTTCTTGATTCATAGAGTTTGCATAATATTCACTTCCCTCTTCTTCCTCTTCTTCTATTTCTTCTTTTTCTTCAGTTTTCTCTTTAATTTCACAAGATTGTTCTGTATCTCCTATTTCCTCATCAACTTTTTTTGCTTCATAATACTCTAACAAAGTCTGAATAATTTTCGAAGATTTACATTCAATATTCACATTTTGTTCTTGTATTATTGGTAGATGTTTAGAACTTTCTAAATTTTTTATACATATTGTAAACGTATAAAAAACTTTTAAGAAAGCATAGGAATTTTTTTGTTGAAAATTACTATTTAATTGTAATAGTACATCCTCTACAATTTCTTTTAAACAAGGTAACACGTCTATTGTACTATATTTCATGACCACTTCAACAACATCAAGGACACCGGGATTGCGCTCTACTTTACGCAATTTTATACTAACATGATATGAGAAATAATCAACATTTGCACGTAGGAGATCTCCCACTGTATCATATTGCTGCGATTTTGTAATTTGTTCCAGTGTCTGTGCACCAACAAAACTGATTAAACTATGCCCACTTCCTAAAAGTATATATGAAGAATTGTTTATACGAATAATTTTACTACTTTATTACTATTTAATTACTTGTAATGAAATTAAACAATTACCCGCTCTTTCGATGATAAGATATAAAGTTTTAAGAAGAAATCTATCATAATCATATCTTAAGTTTTGTGCTATTAATCCCAAACCTTCTAGTAATAAGCAACATTGCACTACATTATTCTGTGCAGTGCATAAAGGGATGTCTTTAGTAGCTTCAATTGTCGGATACCAAAATTCAGGATTTATATACAACTCCACAACTTCTTTATAAATTGGCAAAATTGATGAATCTTTGACTGATACTAAAATGTTTCATAATTGATAACATATATCGTAAACCATTTCGGGATAAAATATTATCTGACGTACCATGTATTATCCAGTTCAATAACAAAATTAACTCTTTCCTATGTTGTGAAGCATCGAATATGAGACAAAGAATAGTATCTACTAAAATTCGAAGATCTCCAAATTCACCTAAATATTTACATATTGCAACAACTTTTGCTTCACATGCATTATTCTGAATAAATTTAAATCGTCTCCATAAATGTGATCCATATGAATATGCTGGATCTTCAAGGTCTTTAACATTTACTGCTTGTAGAAGAGAGATATTACTACAATCTATTTCGGACACATACACAAGAGCCAGTAACAGTCTTCGAACATGCGATGCCGACATCATAACACATGGTAATCTTTGTTCCCCAAGAAGTTTTAAATAACCAGCAATTTGATTTAAGCAAGACAATTGATCACTATCATCTAAAAAGTAAAAAGATGTTTCGTTTAATTTCTAGATAAAGCAGATTTACTAAAATATTGTATATTTTCTACACATATCTTTATAAACATTCTACAAAAATAAAGGAATATATTAAAGGCATAAAAATCGTACCAGACCTCCTGATTATCCTAGGTAATCTTGTAAGAAGATTATAAAAATTTTCTTCTAATAATTCCACCAAAGGCCTCATATTCTTATTTTGCATATAGTTTATGTTAATTATGTTGAGTGCTTTTTCAGCTTCCTCGCGAACTTCTGCAAATTCATCCTCAGATAGAGATATTAAATACTCTATTAGTAACATAACATTTGGTTTCATATTCCTGTTTAAAAAATTTAAACAATTCCCTTTTAGAGATTGTTTTTAATATAAGGTGGGAATGTAGTAACAGTATTACCTGGGGCATGTTGTAAGCAATAAATGAATGTTCTCAACTAATTCCTTTCTAACTTTATAGTGGGAGTGTTTTTTTAATACATCTAATTGTTGGACAAGTATATTAAGCTTAGTTGCACTAGCATTAAACCACTCTTTGCTTCTTGTTGCACTTTTGAGATGTTTTTCTAATTCACTATGATCATTAATATTTGGTAAACTTTCAATTGTGTTAGTATGTTTCTTTTTATTTATTTTAATCAGATCATTTAATGATGGTGTATCATCATCTTCTTCTAATTTATCTTTCATCACAAGAGATATTACTCTACCCCAAGCTCTTAATGCTACCTGAGATTTTATAGAATAAAGTATAAATAAAATCTAATAATATAATTTCACATAATAATTTGAAAATACCTCTATCTTACCATTGTAAGTTTATGCCCTTGTATTTCACTCCCCATAGCTATTTCTTGTAAACCACTAACAATACCAGGTAAAAATAACATAATAACATTAGCTATTTGGTCTTGCAATATAACATCAGATTTATCTGCTTCATCATCCACTTGACATAATGCCATAACAGTTTCTATAGCTTGCAATCTAAAAATTGTGAAAATTTAATTATGGACATATAAATTTATTAAGAATGAATAAAATAACAACTATTATACATTTACCTAAGGGAATGTGATTTTTCAATTCTTCCTATTGTTATTGACAATAGTATTCCTTGCCCTATCTTAGAGGCATTTTGTCTAGTATATAAACATTCTCTAACTTCTGTGAAACAAGAATGTATCAAAGTCTCAATGCAAGAGAGTACTGTTTCTTTAAGTTCTTCATGTCCCACAATTACTACAAAAAGATATATAATATATTATATTCTT